TTCCACCTGTAATGTAGCATATAAGCTACATTGTGCATTGTGGGTCTATCTAGTTAGTGTAACCTCATTGATAACTAAGAATCGAAGGCCCCCGGATCATGAGGCCTCTTGACTGCACAGCCACAATCTTATGTGGGTTCAGCTGAAGCCTGCTGTCTCTCATCCAAATCCCTAAAATCTCCAAGCACTACTAGAGGACAGTTACAGCAACACTTGGTTCATCATGGATAGAGATGTAAAGTTGAATATCATCAGCATATTGATGAGACTTCATCCCATAATGTTGGAAGACCTCACCCAGCAGTTTCATGTAGATACTAAAAAAGAGCAGAGAGAGCACCCACCCTTTATGGCATACCACAAAGGAGCAGCCATGGACTGGACTATTGTTCTGATTAGCAGAACAATGAATAAATGGAAGGAGGAGCTAGCCAGGGTAAGAAAAGAGATGGTTAGGGAACACCTGGGTATCATGAAGTCTTTACGTCTCCAGGACCAACCTTGAAGGAACTTGTAGATGTCATCAAAGAGCCTCTTTCATGCAAATAGACATAGAACCAGAGAAATGGAGAAGAGCAAATGTTCAACAATTATTGTTCTTATCATCAACAAGGATTGATTTGATATAGACAAATTCTGAAACCAATTATTAAGAAATCACTTTGTCAGCACTCAGAAAATAATAAAAAAGATGTTGATCTAGAAGTTTGGGATAGATTGTATGGAAATAGGCAATTTTGCAAGCACTGTTTCAAACTACATATATTTCTAGATTATATAAGTCCTTTCCTAACACCTTAACTCAGTGGTTCTCAACCTTTCTAATGCCGCGACCCCATAATACAGTTCCCCATGTTGTGGTGACCCCCAACCACTTATACATCACCGGGTGCCAGGGGTGTGGCCAAAAAAAGGGGAAAAAAATGGCGGACAGCCTTGTTTGGCGACCCCCGTGAAATGGTCATTCGACCCCAAATGGGGTCCCGACCCACAGGTTGAGAACCACTGCCTTAACTGATCTTGAAGACAACTGGCAGTGAAGCCATTTCAACCAGGGGCCTATTTGGGAACTTCAAGAAGTGTCACTCACATCTGTAATCTCACATTCTGGGCTAACTGTAATTATTTTTGGACTATTTACAAGGTCTGCACCACAAAGAATTTTATAATAATCCAACATTGATGTTAACATTTTCACCAAAGCTTGCACTTTTTCTCCTCTAAGTCCCTTATATCAGGGACTTATATACCTAACCTCAGCTTCATGTTGCTTCTTCCCTCTCATTTTCTTACACAGTTAGGATGAGCAATTCTAATAGTGCTTATATTTTTATCACCATATAATAGCACTCTTATTGAAATCTAGTTAAATGTATAATCTAGTAAATTCACTAAAAAAAATTCTTAAAAAAAACATCCTTTCCAATGCAACCTTAATATAGCTTCCTTGGTTACATATATATATATAAACTTGAACAGTTAACAAAGATGAAATGTTTTCACTTTTACCACTATGAACACGTTATAGATTTATTTCTGAAATCAGAAATTAATTTCATGATTTTCATTATTGAGGTTGGCTTAATTAAAAATGTACTTATTTTATTGTCCTTTTCTAAATTAATTTATTATTTTAGAGTTTTTTACACCATTACATTTTATTGGTTTGTATTGTACATGTGGAGTTTTAATTTTTATGTTTTCCATTCCATTAATTTCAAATTTAATATTAAAATATAATGATGATTCAATTTAAGCATTAGAAGCCTGAAAAGCCTGGGAAAAGCTATGATCTAAGAAAAGAAAGAAAAATATGTTCTTTTGAGACAGTTAAACACATTTAGTCTTATTTCTATATAACATATTTTTACTCTATTTAAGAATCTTGCCAAACACTAGCATTAACCTGCACATGTCTGCTATTATTTTCTGTCATAAAGAAATCCTAGGATTTAATTCACTTCAGATATTTGCCAGATTTCTTGACTGTACCATCATGAATGCATGAATGAATACATCACTCTACTGCATATATGCATACTGTATAAGTATAAGCACTGTATAAGTGCTTTTTTATCTATCTGTATACAAATGAGAAAACAAGTATAGTATAGTATCTCAGATACTAACTAGGAGAAGACTCTAATTCTTCAAAATTCTTCAAAATATATTGAAACAATTAAAATTTTCTGGCATTAATGGTACAATATTTAGGATATTGTTGATCTTCCTCAATTTAATGCAATTATTAACCTGCTCTGTAATTAATGAGTTGTTGCACTCATTACACTGCACAGTGATAATGAGGTTTTCAATAAAATGAGACAAATTCTGAAAATACTTCTAAAGTAAATCCGCGCCCCCCCCCCATAAAACTCTTTTTATTTTAAAAACTGCCAAGTTTTAATTTCTGAGAATGTTGTATTGCTAGAAACTTGGCTATCTGGTCCATATAAAAACAAAACTGAAAATCCATGATTTGCATTGATGGATTGTACATCTACAAGGTAACTTCATTATCGTAAACTACACTGAGACTTATTTTCATAAATTCAGTCCATTATGCAATTGTTACTTTCCTAGAAGCACCACAGACAAATATAAGAAGTCAGCAGTTTTAAAATGAAGATGTTACTAGAAAAAAATGGCAAAATATTACCTTGTTTAAAGTTGCCCTCATGTTCCAAAATTTCTGTGATAGCTAGAAGAAATCTTATGTAATGATCTGCCATTCTTAAATCTCCTCCATTGCCTATCTACTGTTTGGGTGACTGACTTATGAAAATCTCTAAAAATTCAGGTATCATGTATTCATTAGTATCACCAATCCTGCTCTGCTTAAAAATTGGTATACTAAGATTATCAATATATTTATTTATGTGTTTATTCATTCATTCAATGTGTGGACCACTCAACTCCTGAAAAAAGCAATTCTCCAATATTAATATTTGACACAATCCTAATCATTCATTTATAGTCCAAACACCATATTAAAAAATATTTATTCAAACTTTGAATAAAAGAAAGCAAGAAAACAAGATACAGAATAATTGGTAAAACACATAGAGGTACCTTTATCAGAGCTCAAATGTAAATTATTGGTTGACCATTCCAAAATTAGATCCATAAACTCACAGTAATTTCTATTAAACAAAATTTGGCAACACTCCTGCTTATTTCTGTAGGCAGATTTCCTGGCAGAAAATAAGCAGATTTTCCTTATCTGTTTGGTCCAGATGATTAACAAGAGTATTGTTAAATAGAGGTTAGATTAGATATGAGACAACTTAACAAAACATGAAAAACTGATTCATTTAAATTTTATGAGCAGGGGCAGGCTTTGTAAAGGCATATAATTATACTTCCATATTGAACTATAAATGGCAAAATGATAAATTTAGCCTTTGGAAATGTTCTAAGTGGAGCAAAATATTGAGAAAAATAATTGGTTTGGCTAAAAGGATTTCTGTAGAGACCAAACAGAGCGGCGCCAGCCTTGTGTGCATGCGCAAGACACAAAAACGCTCTGTTCCTATTGGTTAACACTGTCCGGGTTTCTGGCCATATAAAAAGATCTGCGTGCCTTTTGCTTGGTTGTAGAAGGAGAATAAAGTGTTTGTTCAGCATCGCCATGTGTCTTCATCATTTGCATGCAAACGAAGGACTTAACAGAAATAATTTCTGGCTATATCCAGCCATCAATTTCTATGTATTAGTTTATGTACTTTAGAAGAATATGACTGTCTGAAAATCTGAATCCCTGTCTCGGAATCAATTTTATATAATTTACTTATTCTCAAAAGATAACACATTTAGGACATTACATTGATAATTACAGCACATATTTTTAAGGCTATAAATGACTAGAAGGTAACAACTAAATATTTGTTGTTTCAAATGGTTATTTTTTATATTCCAGTTATAACTAATCCTAATAACTCTGGCATTAATAAAACCCTATTTTTCTTTCCTACAATATGCTGCTAGCACTTGCAACTTTCTCCTTAGGTCTGTCTGAGTAAAGGATAGCATATTTGTCTCATCGGCATATAAAAGTATAGATGTAGACAGGTTTACTAGCATTTGAAGATGGAACTTTTTTTTAGATAATTTATTTACTGAGATTATGATGAAAGTTAAAGAAAAAGCAAATATACTTTCTGTCTGACTTTTTAATGAGTACTTCAGATATTCTGAAGAAGGCACATTGAACCTGCATAGTTGTATTTTCATATGACATAATGTTATCAGAATAATTGGCAATCTGAACTAGATGATAGTATTTTGCTTATATCCTTTTCCTTCAGATCACTTATCTGAAGGATATGCACTTATCTGAAGGATATGCACTTATCTGAAGGATATGCACTTATCAAATATTGACAGCTCTAAACTGTGCACTGATAGCCCAGATTTAAAGCTGACTTAACTTTAGCCAACACATTACTTTGGATCAATAAGTTAACAAAATTTCCATACATAAACTGGGAAAAAAATTTGAAGCATGGATGATAAATTGCAAATCAGTAATCAGGTGACTAAAATCTTCATTCTTAGCTGCCTGCAGTGGAGACTCTTGACATAGAAAAAATAAGAGTAATTAAAATAACTATATGTGGTAAAATATATGAATAATCATGTGAATAGCTCTTTTCAGAAAATGGTAAGTATGGAAGTATGAAAGGATAGTGCCCTGAGTATTTATGCACAATGAGTATATACATATATGTACACTGTGTCCCCAATGTTATCTATAGTAGAGGATTCTGCTTTTTTACCAAGTATAAAAAAAATTAAATATTCAGTATTTTTGATTTACAATTTTATTTTGTATATTAGTCATGACAAGTCAATTGATAACATTTCTTAGTTAATTGTATTCAGAAAAGTATTGTCTTTTAAACATTATAATGTTATAAATACCAAACTCTTTCAAACAATGGGTTATAAACTGCTTGCACGATGATCATGTAATTTTTCTGGATCTTTTCATTTCTTTTTTGTTATTTCTTACAGGTGAAATCTGTGCTTTTAAAATCCATGGACAAGAAATGCCCTTTGAAGCTGTAGTCCTAAACAAGACATCTGGAGAAGGTCAGCTTCAAGCAAGAAGTCCAATTGACTGTGAATTGCAGAAGGAGTACACATTTATCATTCAGGCATATGACTGTGGGACAGGGCCTAGTGGAACAAACTGGAAAAAATCTCACAAGTGAGTGACAACGAGGAGTGTGGGCTTTGGGATGTACACTTACAATTCATAGATCCTTTTAACATTCATAATGTTGCTAAAGAAGAAATTAAAACAAAATTCTTTTTCATAGGACTGTATGTGAATCTTTTTTCTTGTACTCTGACTAAGTAAAACTGGCTTCTTTAATAGTACATTTAGCTAGAATAGCAATTATTTTAAACAGACTCATGTCTGCAGATGTAATAGCTATATGCTTTCTTTTACCTATTAGCAAATGATCAGTTGCTTTTTGAAATTTAAAAAAGTTATTACTTAGTTTATATGTGCCAGATTATTTTGATTTCCCTTCATTTTTTGTGTGTAATTTGTAATATATACATCATAATGTAAACTGAATTTCTAATCATGTTGTTGTTAATTGCGAAGTCGTGTCCGACCCGTCGCGACTCCATGGACAATGTTCCTCCAGGTCTTCCTGTCCTCTACCATCTTCTGGAGTCCATTTAAATTCACACCTACTGCTTCAGTGACTCCATCCAGCCATCTCATTCTCTGTCGTCCCCTTCTTCTATTGCCCTCAATCTTTCCCACATTAGGCTCTTCTCCAGTGAATCCTTCCTTCTCATTAGGTGGCCAAAGTACTTGAGTTTCAACTTCAGGATCTGGCCTTCTAAAGAGCAGTCGGGGTTGATCTCTTCTAGGACTGACCGGTTTGAACGCCTTGCAGTCCAAGGGACTCGCAGGAGTCTTCTCCAGCACCATAGTTCAAAGGCCTCAATTCTTTTGCGCTCAGCCTTTCTTATGGTCCAACTTTCACAGCCATACATTGCAACTGGGAAAACCATGGCCTGGACTATACGCACTTTTGTTGGCAGGGTGATGTCTCTGCTTTTTAGTATGCTGTCTAGATTTGCCATAGCTTTCCTCCCCAGGAGCAAGCGTCTTTTAATTTCTTGGCTGCAGTCCCCATCTGAGGTGATCTTGGAGCCCAGAAAAATAAAATCTGTCACTACCTCCATTTCTTCCCCATCTATTTGCCAGGAATTGAGAGGGCCGGATGCCATGATTTTGGTTTTCTTAATGTTGAGTTTCAAGCCAACTTTTGCACTCTCCTTCTTCACCCGCATCAAGAGGCTCTTTAGTTCCTCTTCACTTTCTGCCATTAGAGTGGTATCATCTGCATATCTTAGGTTGTTGATATTTCTCCCGGCAATCTTAATTCCAACTTTTGATTCATCTAGCCCTGCCTTTCTCATGATGTGCTCTGCATATAAGTTAAATAGGCAGGGCGACAGTATACAGCCTTGCCGGACTCCTTTTCCAATTTTGAACCAATCAGTGGTTCCGTGTTCGGTTCTCACTGTTGCTTCTTGACCCGCATATAGGTTTCTCAAGAGACAAATGAGATGGTCTGGTACTCCCATCTCTTTAAGAACTTGCCACAATTTGTTGTGATCCACACAATCAAAGGCTTTTGCATAGTCAATGAAGCAGAAGTAGATGTTTTTCTGGAACTCCCTAGCTTTCTCCATGATCCAGCGTATGTTGGCAATTTGATCTCTAGTTCCTCTGCCTCTTCGAAATCCTGCCTGTACTTCTGGTAGTTCTCGATCCACATACTGCTGGAGTCTAGCTTGTAGGATTTTAAGCATAACTTTACTAGCATGTGAAATGAGTGCAATGGTGCGATAGTTTGAACATTCTTTGGCATTGCCTTTCTTTGGAATTGGAATGTAAACTGACCTTTTCCAATCCTGTGGCCACTGTTGAGTTTTCCAAATTTGCTGGCAAATTGAGTGTAGCACTTTTACTGCATCGTCTTTTAAGATTTTGAATAGCTCAGCTGGAATACTGTCACCTCCACTAGCTTTGTTGTTGCTCAGATTTTCTAAGGCCCATTTCACTTCACATTCTAGGATGTCTGGTTCGAGGTCAGTGACCATCTCATTGTGGTTATCTGGGATGTTAAGCTCATTCTTGTATAGTTCTTCTGTGTAGTTTTGCCATCTCTTCTTAATCTCTTCTGCCTCTGTTAGGTCTCTGCCATTTTGGTCCTTTATCATGCCCATCTTTGCATGAAACGTTCCCTTCATATCTCCAATTTTCTTGAAGAGATCTCTGGTCCTCCCTATTCTGTTGTTTTCTTCTATTTCTTTGCACTGTTCATTTAAGAAGGTATTCTTATCTCTTCTAGCTATTCTCTGGAATTCTGTATTCAATTGGGTGTATCTTTCTCTTTCTCCTTTGCCTTTCGCTTCCCTTCTTTCCTCAGCTATTTGCAAAGCTTCCTCAGACAGCCATTTTGCTTTCTTGCATTTCTTTTTCTTTGGGATGGTTTTAGTTGCTACCTCTTGTACAATGTTGCGAACTTCCATCCATAGTTCTTCAGGCACTCTGTCTATCAGATCTAATTCCTTAAATCTATTTGTCACCTCTACTGTATATTCATCAGGAATATGATTTAGTTCATACCTGAGTGGCCTAGTGCTTTTCCCTACTTTTTTCAATTTAAGCCTAAATTTTGCAACGAGAAGCTCATGATCTGAGCCACAGTCAGCTCCTGGTCTTGTTTTTACTGACTGTATACAGCTTCTCCATCTTTGGCTGCAGAGCACATAGTCAATCTGATTTCTATGTTGACCGTCTGGTGATGTCCATGTGTAGAGCCGTCTCTTGGGTTGTTGGAAAAGAGTGTTTGTTATGACCATCGTATTCTCTTGACAAAATTCTATTAGCCTGTGCCCTGCTTCATTTTGTACTCCAAGGCCAAACTTGCCTGTTATTCCGGTTATCTTTTGGCTTCCTACCTTAGCATTCCAATCCCCCATGATGATAAGGACATCATTTTTTGGTGTTAATTCTATAAGGTGCTGTAGGGCTTCATAGAACCGGTCAATTTCATCCTCTTCAGCACCAGTGGTTGGGGCATAGATTTGGACTACTGTGATATTGAATGGTTTGCCTTGGATTCGAATTGAGATCATTCTGTCATTTTGGGGATTGTATCCCAGTATTGCTTTTCCTATTCTTTTATTGACTATGAAGGCTACTCCATTTCTTCTGAGGGATTCTTGCCCACAGTAGTATACCTGATGGTCATCTGAGTTAAATTCACCCATTCCTGTCCATTTTAGTTCGCTGATTCCTAAGATGTCGATGTTCAGTCTTGTCATCTCTTTTTTGACTACGTCTAGCTTGCCTTGATTCATGGATCTTACATTCCAGGTTCCTATGGAGAAAAAATCTTTACAGCATTGGACTTTCCTTTCACCACCAGATATATCCACAGCTGAGCATCCTTTCGGCTTTGGCCCAATCGCTTCATTCTTTCTGGCGCTAGTAGTACTAGCCCTCTGCTCTTCCCAGTAGCATATTGGACACCTTTCGACCTGAGGGGCTCATCTTCCAGCGTCATATCTTTTTTCCTTTTAGTACTGTCCATGGGGTTTTCATGGCAAAGATACTGGAGTGGTTTGCCATTTCCTTCTCCAGTGGATCACATTTTGTCAGAACTCTCTGCTCTAACCTGTCCGTCTTGGGTGGCCCTGCACGGCATAGCTTATAGCTTCATTGAGTTACGCAAGCCCCTTCGCCATGACAAGGCAGTAATCCATAAAGGGATCATAATGTAAACTGAATTTCTAATCATATTCTAAATAAAAAGGCAAGTGTTTCTTGATTTAACAATGGGAACTTTTAAAGTGTTGGTTATATTCAGTATACATGGCAATCTCGGAATAATATTGTAGGAATTGCAATATTTAACATCCATGTAAGGGAAATAAAATAATAGAGAATTGCAGTGAAAACTGAAGTTCATCCAAAAATTAGTTTAAATAAGTAGTTCATTAAAATACATATTTTAATTCTATTAACTATTGGCAGGTCTTCAAACAAGATATTTTCTACCCATTTTTCATATTGAGATTGTATTATTTTTATCAACAATTCTTTATAAAATTTAAACATAAAAAGGAACTATCCATGCTACAGTGGATTTAGAAAATAAGTAGAAATTGAGAATTATAGTCTTTTTTTTTTTTAGAGCTGTGGTCCATATCCAAGTAAAAGATGCTAATGAATTTGCACCTGCTTTTAAAGAAGCATCTTATAAAGCTACTGTGACAGAAGGAAAGATCTACGACAGTGTGTTACAGGTAGAAGCCATGGATGAAGACTGTTCTCCTCAATACAGCCAGATATGCAATTATGAAATTGTCACAACTGATGTTCCGTTTGCAATTGACAGGAATGGTGAGTTCTTGACATTTGACACATAATGCATTTTTTGGACTATATCTTGAGAGATATCTTTCTATAAAGCATTTATTTTTCTATCAATGTTAGTGGTATGATGGCTTCTAATTTTCCTATTTTATCTTGAAAAAAGAAATGGCTTCAGTTGATTAGCCATATTTGTCAACCAACTGCAATCCACTTAGGACAATCCTGCTTAGAATTAGTACAACATTCTTTAGACTCTGCTATTCATTCTAAGTATCTACTGCATGTTTGTTTAATATTCAGAACTATTTTCTTTTTTTAAAATCACCTAGAGGATTCAATAAGAATACCTTCTTAGAGAAAATTAACTTCTAAGCAAGCTTTTCAGGCACCAGACTCCATTTAATGAAATAGTAAGAACAATATTTTTTGCAAAAAATATAATAATATCTGAAAGATTTTCATAGAGTATCAGTATATTTATCCAAAATAGTTAAAAATTCTGATGTCTCATATTATTGATAAAATAATGCCAATATTTTATAGGATTTCAATCATTTTAGATGTTTTTATTGTAAAACCTTAAAGCTGAGATTGTGTAGAACCTCAGCTATGAGATATTTTGGCCTTCCATGTTACATATACTTCATTCCCAATGTTCCTGATCTTTATTAACTGAATTAATTTGTTTATTTTTTTTCAGTGAGTTCATGTTTGAAGAGGCAAATGTATAATTATTTTTTTAAAAAATCCAGATGTCTTTTTCCAAGGTTGCACATCAACCTTATTTTTTCATTAATATATGATTAGTTACATTCTGTGTTTAAATTATTATGCCTTGAGTAAACAAATTTATTAGTTTTGCTGTAACAAATTATTTCCAGGGTGCTGGAAATAATGAGGATTTTTATTTCTGAAATTCTATCAGTGGCTCAAAATTATAAATTGAAAATGTGTGCAAAGCCTTTGTTTTTTCTTAGAAGCCATTTTATGTTGCACTGCTTTAGAGGAAGCAATTTCCCATATGACACTGACCTCTACCTCTATCTGAACTGCTTTTTCACAGTGCATAGCTCAGAGTCAGAAGATAATGGGAAAAAGTTAGGACTGGTGAAATTCAGATGGCAGTTAGAAACTATGTATTCGATGACATTAAAATAATGTCACAGTAATACAGTTATGTAAAAACATCTTGATATCATACACAGGTATGTAACTTGCCCTTTACATGTGATATATAATGGAGGTGCTATTATTTGCCCCACTAGGTGCTCTACAGATGTTGATATTGGTCCTCACATTTCAATAGCTCGATTGAAGGACTGATATTTTATATATTCTATGAAACAAGACATTCAATATAATTTATATTATGTAATAAAAAATTATTAGCCTAGTTCTTTGTTGAAAGGGTTCTAAAACAAAGTCTCATATAGCATACAGTAACTTCTAGATCATTTAAGTTACTGTAGTTTTTCATTTTCAAGCTTGTTTTTTTGAGCAATGCAAATATTTTATTGCTCAGAATTAATTCTGGACAATATTTATATTTTTTCCATTTTCTGGAATATAAATGCTCAGATTAGGAATTTTATGAAGAAATTTTACAGAATAGTAGGCAAGCATCTCACCTCTTACCTTTAGAGACCGAGCATCAAGGTGAATTTAGCAACAGTGAATCAAATCTGTGGATTTAGTGTTCAGGTCAAATAGTTCCTAAAGAACAAACAAAAAAAAAAACTTCGTAGAGCTTGCACAATGTATAATTTTCAGACCTCTGAACATTGAGTTTGGATTCAGTGCAAGAAGCTCCTGGACTTCAGGAAACTCATCACAAATTTCCTTGAAACCAATATGACTGAACTGTTATGCAGCCAGATTGATATGTAGATTAAATCTTCTGAGATATGATAGCATCATTCTATTGCCAAATTGATAATTCTCTTAATGGTCTTGGAAAGGGTTGACAACATTTTGTGGATAAAGGAGATACTCCTGTTGAAGAGACCCAATGTCTGGATGATTAATCCACATAATTTCTTCTTAAGGGTACTTTTCTAAAGGGCAGATGGACTTTGGCTATGGACAATTTGATCTTTATAAAAGTGTTAAGGTTAGGGTGGTCATAATCCATATTGGATTCAATGACACTTTGAAACATATTGGGCAATTGTAAAAGTCAAAAATAAGTATATAGGTAGAGACTGTAATCTAGGAATATGTGCCATGTTAGTATTCTCTGAAATATTACTTGCCAATTAGTCAAGCATAGTTTATGAATGCCAGTGTGTAGATGAGACAGTATCAGGAGAGATGGATTTAAATTATTCAGCACTGGGGATGTGTAGCACAAGTCAAATCTGTCAAGACAAATGGACCTTGAACTGAACTTCTTGTACATATCATCTGAAGGTGGTGAAGCTGGTTTTTACATATCCTTGGAGTCAACCAATTGTTATATTTAGTTTATTCTCCAGTACAGGAGATGGATAATCCACGGATGGGTTTTCTCTGTCTGCCTGCTCTTGAGACCAAGTAGCCAAAGCTTGACACGCCCCCACTTCCTGTGGAGTCCATTCTTAACTTGGTCTCTGCTCGAAGAAGACTCGTTTTGGCGTGGCTCTCAGCTTATCAGGTTAGACAAGAAATCCATTGATTGATTATCCCTTGATAATTGGCTTCCCCTTCCAAAAAAAAAAAAAAAAAAAATTGCCACCTATAGGAATTTAACCACAAAATTTTCTGGGGATCAGTCCTGATCTCAAACCTAAAATTAAAAAGGGGATTGGTGGGGAGGGAAATTTCCCCACAGATATCAGCCAGCCCCAGGGCTCTGGGGGGTGAAAAGGGGGGGAAGAAGGCATCAGCAGAGACTACTTGCTGAACCTTTTCCCCAACCACTAAGTTTTCCTTGGGATCATCCCTGATCCTATATTAAAATTGAAAAAGGGGGTGTGGGGGGGAAACTCCCCACGGATCCCAGTCAGCCCCAGGGCTCTGGAGGTGGAAAAGGGGGGGGAAGGCATCAGCAGAGACCACTTGCTGAGCTTTTCTCCCCAACCTTCCAAGGGATTTTTTCCTCAAATTGGGGGAAAAAATAACAATCTCCAGGTCCGGATTCAAACTTGAATTCGGATCATCGGAGATTCCCTAGCAGCCCAGGGCAACCGCGGGCGCCATTTTAGTTGCCGTTTTCAAACAACAAAGGCAATCCCTGACTGGGATTCCCTTAAAACGTCACAGCGCGCCAAATTTAAATCCCCGGGCACAAGCAGCTTCTGGGAGGCTGCGGAGCTTATTTTCAGAGGGAAACGAAGCACAGGAAGGGAGTAAGCCCCAACCAAGAAACGGAGGCTAGAGAACCCTCCTGGGATCCGCAAAGCCCTTTTTCAGGGAGAAACAAGCTGTGGCTGCCATCTCTTGCCAGAGAAAGGCAAACCGAGCTTAAGGAAGCTCTACATCATATCTGGAATCACTGATAGAGGCGGAATAGGAGCACACAACCAGCGCTCCACCCCCGATACACACATATAATAATAGGACAAAATATAATAATAATAAAAATAGATACATAAATTTTAAAAATAATAATAATAATAATTAAAAAAAATTTTTTTTTAAAGCTAAAAATTAAGCGACTGCAGGGCCAACAGGCCTAAAGACAGAACACACAATATTATCATCATCACCATTATTGTTGTTGTTGTGATTATTATTATTATTTTATTATTGTTGTTGTTCCTATTATTAGTATAATAGTAATAGTATTAATAAGAATAAATTCCGCTCTAGGTGACCGCCATTTGATACCTGCTGTGTATTAAGTCAGGCCTACAGACCCTTTTGAGGTCGCCACTGATATTTTTTGCCTCCCTTTTCCTTTTTCTACTGGTGCACGTTGCCTGGTCACCTAAGGCCTCCGGGCGGAACCCAAAGAGTGGTTCCAAACGTGCCTTCGGTACCTCCCTCAGCTACCGTGACCTTAGCCCAGAGAGAATATTTTTGTTGTGGTCGGGTGATCAGGGGAACAGTCCTGGTACTTGTTCCAATTTCGCTCCCGCCAATACTTGCCTGCCTGAGCGTCTTCTCAGTTTTTCTGGGACTGCTCAAGCGGAATGGAGGGACCCTCGTTGCCTCAATCCATGAGCACGACCCCTCCATCTCCCAATTACGGCTGCAACACACCTTCTGACCAGAAGGCGGCAGGCAAGTGCAAAGCGAAGACAAAACACTCGCTCAAGAGGCCCTCCAAGTTGGCGGAAAAGCAAGCCAGCCGTAGGCACCAGGCCCTGGAGAAGGAGTTCTCCAGAGCGCAGAGGCAGGCCCAATTGGAATTGGTTCAAATAGCGGCCACCGAGATGGAATTACCATTGGGTCCATCCACATCAACCCAGAGCGCGTGGTCCATTCCAGGAACACCGCAACCACTGGATCCGCCATCTACATCAGCCCAACAAACAACCACGGCGGCAGGCACAACCACTGAGTCCAACTCTCCACCTGCGGTCACCACACCCAAAGGTAATGACATAGGGGACATCTGGGCAGATGGACGGCTAGAGGCCCTATTAACCAAAGTGGTGGACCGAGCCCTAGCACAGCGCTCCACCCACCACGACCAGGGGCCCTCCATCTCAGCCATGCCACACTCGGAACTCGCCTCAGAGTCCTCAGGCATTCAGGAACCCATCTCCCCGGCCCAGTCCTCCATGAGTGGTTATTCTTCACCACAAGAGGAGGATCAACCTGGGATCTCTATGTCAGAGGATGAGGAACTTCCCCCTGAGCCCCCCTCAGGGGGATTATTTAATCCCAACCGCTTCCTCACGATACTACGCAAGGCCACAGTCATTGCGGACATGGGGACGGATCAGTTTTCTCAGCCGCAAGTGACACCGGCCACCACATCCAGACCCGTATTCGTAGAAAAGGTGACAACGCAACACCATATACCTTGCCCCACCATTTTCCTGAAAGGGATCAAGAAGCCATGGGACTCTCCCGCTTCCTTCCCATCAGTGAGTGGTACG